AAGGACTGAGTTTGCTTGTGCCAAGCTCTCAGCCATCCAGCCTCGAGGTGCCATGGGAATAGAGTCCCTGAAGTTCCGTGTGTGACCAGGGAGGGGCTGCAGGGGGCTGGTCTCCTCCCCCACAGCAGCACCACGACCTTCCACACCAGCGGCGAGGCCGTGCGCTGACGTGGATTCCTATGGCCGAGCGGCCTGTACTTACCCAGAGGACTCAGGCCAGCTGCAAATCCCGGCGCTCAACGCTGAGCAGTTGCTAAAGTAAATAAAGTGAGCATAAGCCCGCCGCCCAGGTCATGGGAGATATTCCTCTTGTCTACACGGGCAACTGAGCCACGAGAGCCACCTTCCTAGTCCCCTTTGCTACTGTGAGTTTGAAGGGGAGTTAAGGAAGCTGCCTGCCCGGAACCGCAATGCGGCCCAGGAGGTCGCAGAGCCGGTCCCAGAGCCGGTCCCGTCGGGTCTCGGCACACCCACAGCATGTGTGCTGAGTTTGGCTTTTCTCAGCTTTCCTCAGTGCAGCAGGGCACAGAACTGCACAGACCCAGCAGGGCGTGAAGGGCAGGGGCGTGCGGAGCCAGCTGGCACCCGGACCCTCTGGCAGGCCCCACCCCCCCACAAGTTCGGGGCCCAGCGCACATTCTTTCCAGCCCTGGGCAGGGCACCTCTGTTTCGTGAATAAGGGTCTTCGGTGCAGGTTCAGTGGGGACACAGGCCTTTGGACTCTGAACCACCAGCGTTGACCCCCCTGCATCCTGGAAAGTGCCCCTGTACATGCCTCCCTGGGCCAGCCCATCCCGGATGTGTCAACAAGCCGGCGGGGTGAAGGGAGCCCCGCCGACAGTCAGAGAGAGCCAGGGCTGGGAGCCAAAGCAAACCGAAGACGGGAGTGTGCTCTCTCCGAAGAACCTGTCACAGAAGAAAACGCCACATTCCTCAAGCCAGGACAGACCCTGCTTGTGAGTGTGTCCATCGGACAGTGATCCCTCCAGTCACCCCAGGCAGACGAGGGCCTTCAGGATCCCATTCCCAACAAGGGCTTTCGAGAGGGTCTCCTACGCTCGGCCCAGCCCATTCGTCCTCAGTGACTTAGTCTGAAAGGGCAGAGTGGGTGCAAGGCGAGAACGGATCACCCGTGCAGCCACGACTGGTTTGACAAGGACAAAACCCACAGTGCTCCCCCTACCCCACCCCAGCACCTCAGCCGCCAGCACAAACTCATTTCTTATGCGGATGAAGTCATGCTAAATTGGCCACTGAGAGCAGCTTCCAATGGGAAACAAGACCAAGGAGGTCACTGCTCAGTCCTAGGAGCGGGCGCTGAGTGGCGGGTCAGCACAGTGTGATTGGAGCCAGGGCACTGGCATAGCCGAACTGCCTGGGTTCAAGTCCTGCTTCTTCCATTGATCGGCTGGATGACTAATGTGCATGATATTTGCTTCTCTGTTCCTCTGTTAATTTTTCTATAAAATGGGGATGATAGCGATGCCTACTCTGGTGGGCTGTAGTGAGGCTTAAACGGGCAAACACATGTCTGGCACTAAAGCACACCGGCTGTCCTGAGGACGACCCGCGTGCCCGGGACATCCTGGCTGACGCCTGTTGTCCCAGCGCCGTTATTAATATTTCGCACAATACATTCTAAGGCTGACTAGCTCGTGTCCTTTTTTCTGTCCACCTGGTTCTCTCCCTGCGTCGTGCTGCCTCTCTGAGCACTGGGGAGCCAGGTTCCCAAAGTGTGTGTCCCCATTTCTGACCAAGCCACTGAGGTGTCTGTGCCTTAAACTCAGTTTTTCCTTCTTCTCTTCACCTTGCTTGTCCCTCTCCTTCCCCTTCTGCTCCAGCCGTCCTCTCCTTCGGGGGTCTTCCCCGCCAGCACCCTAGGGTGCCAGGAGTGCACACAGGGACCCTTGGAGCACTGACTGCACCCTTGGACGGGGCACTTTCTGGCTAACTACACTCTGCCTTACCAGATTTCTCGAGACAAAGGAAACAATTTGCGATGTCAAAGCAATTACCTGACCACTAGATGGATGAATGGAAACAGTGTGGCATTTTGTGTATGTGCCTGAGTTAGTGCTATTTAAGAGGGGGAAAGAACCCCGGCCAGTCTGGCTCAGTGGTTAGAGCGTCGGCCCGCGGATCAGAGAGTCCTGGGTTGGGTCCCCGCTAAGGGCATGTACCTTGGTTATAGTTTGTCCCTGGTCCGACTGGGGTCGTGTGGGTGGCAGCCACTCGATGTGTCTCTCTCACATCGATGTTTCTCTCTCTCTTCCTCCCTCTCCCCCGCGCTCTATCTGTAGATGCAAAATGTCCTTGGGTGAGGATTAAAAAAAGGGGGGGGGTGGAGGGGAGAACAGCCTGCAATGGTCCATCGACTGCCAGAACCGATCTCTGAAAACCGCCCCAAGGGCCATGTTACGGGGGAGGCCGGAGGCTGCTCTCCAAGCAGCTGCCTCCCCACATGGCTGCCGAGAGACCAAAACCTGAGAGTCAGGAGCCCAAAGGTCTGGTCCCCTTTCTGCCACTCACTAACCACTGTGAAGGACCATGATTTTCTGAAGCTCAGTTTCCCATCTGTAAATAGGACACACGTGTCCCTGGATCACTGGGTGCTAGGACATTGTAAGAGACCCTGGCCCTGTTCTTAGGCTCCTAGAATGGCACTGACAGAATTCCACAGCAGCACACAACCACATCTTCAGGGCCTGGTAGCCCTTTTCAGAGGGCACACAGAGGAGGGACCCAAGCCTGGGACAACGTGATAAGCTGAACTAGCTCCAGCCCACTGAGCCATGGCAAATGCCTGAGTCCCCTGGCACAGAACATGCAGTTGCCCTGGGTGGGAGAAAAGCAAGGGCATGATGGGAACTCAGGCACTGACTCCCCAGATCCCAGGGACTCCCCCACCCACCTCCCTCCACCTCCTAGCGCCCCAGTGGCCTACGGGTTTGAAGAGCGTGCTCACCCTGTGTACGGTGCCATCACAGGCTCCCGCATCGGCAATCACCCACCAAACCCGACCCCACTCCTGGGGTTCCCTGCCCAGCACTGGAACCCAAATCTCCAACATCGTGGCCTCCTCCTCTGCTCTGGCCTCTGACATTTATTCAGCTGGGTTCAAATCCCTGCCCCGCCACTTACTTGCTGTGTGACCTTGGACAAGTTGTTTAATCTCTGACTCTCAGTCTCCTCCTCTACAAAATTTGCAGAGATAATAATCTCCTCCTAAGGCTGTTGGGAGGATTAAATAAGATCATGTGTAATAATGTCCCACCATGGGCCCTGGCCTGTTTCTACCCCCCACACACATCCTTTTTAGCAATGTCTCCGGTCATGCCCATTTCTCTCCCTTCCCAACCGCCCTGTTCAGCTACACACGGGCACTGTCATCTTCTCCTTCCCCGGTTCTACCTCAGCAGCTTCCTTCACTGTTAGTGCGTCTCAAACATTACAGCCAAACACCAAGCTCTTCTGAACCCAGTCCCAGTAACACCATTCCCCTTCCCATCAAAATACCCCCAGACCTCATAATGAAGTTCAAGTTCCCCAGCTAAGGCCTTCCCCAATTCCTCACAATTCCAAAAATCCCAACCACCTGATCCCAACCAACATTCCTCACCCCCTCTCCACTACATTTCCCCTTGTCCCCAGACACATCCCACCTCCAGGACTCTGCTCAGGCCTCCCTGCCCCAGAGATGCCCAGACCCAGCCTCCTCCTCAAGGAACAGCCTAGGTGTCACCTCCAGAATGCCATCCTGATCCACTCCTTCCGGAAGTGCCCTTCCTCCTCCAAAGTCCCCTAGACACGTGGCATTCGTCATTCCTACAGTGGAGTACTCAGAGATGGAGGGACCTCACAAGTCATCTGTGAGGCCTCCAGTTATCATTAAAAATATGCAGAGAGCAGATCTTACAGTAGATCTTACATACATGAGGTCATGTATGGTGTCCTAAAAAGGGACATGAACCCTAGACCCTCAAATTAAAATCCTGATTCTATGTGGAGTTAGCTGTCCTAGTTTCATATCCCTATGCTCATATCCTTGATAAGAAAATTGTCTGGTATGGGTTGGTTTCTTCCAGAGACAGGGAACTCACTACCTTATGAGTCAGGTTCTTCCTCTTGAACTCGGATCACCCCTGGGGACTCCTACCCGTGGGCCCTTTCTGCCCTCTGGAGTGACACAAAGCTAATTCACTTGGGGTTCCTGGTACCCTCCTCAGAGCCAAACACAGGGCAGGCTTCCAACAAGACTGTTGTGAGCAAGGGGACAGGTATATGGATTTCAAGGGCTTTGCCACACGCACAAGTGGATTCACCACATCCTGGTGCATAAACACACACACACTCGCGTGTACACACTTGCACACACACATGCACATTCACACACACCTGGGCCAGAGTCAGCTCTGCAGCCTGAGTCACAGCCAGACCACAGCACCAATGGGGCCAGGGAGGAAGTATGGCCCCAGTGGCCGCCCATTTCCTGGCCTTCTTCCTTTGCTCTGGGAGGCTCTCTCGGTCCCTTTCTGACTTTCTGACTTTCTGACTTTGTCTCTCCCGGTTCTTTGTTTCTACAAGGGGCAACAGTGCTGTTGTCCTGACCACGTGGAAGAGCTCCTAGCATCACAACCGGCAAGGGAGGAGTTCGGCTTCTAGAACTGTCACCCTGGGCCAGTCACTTCACTGTAACATGGAGAGGCTGGAGTGGCCAAAGGACCCCTGATCTCAGCCGGTGCTCCTCGGCCCCCCTCCAGCCCCCCTCAGGGCTCTGAGCGCCTGGGTTATCTGGGGGAAGGGAGCAGGGCCAGGGCGGCCTGGGGACGGGGTGGGGAGCTGAGCTGCTCCCTCCGGGGCGGTCTCCGCCGGCACGCCGCGTGCTGCGCCCAGGTCTGCTCACTCGGCTGCCGCGGGAGCGGGCAGGAAGCGCCGTCCTCTCGGGCTGCACGGGGCAGAGGGGCTGGGAAAACGCCCACCCCGGGCCGCCCTCCACCTACCTGTACCTGGGGAGTCGCCGTCTTCCCTTCTGGCTGCCGACGCCACCGCGGGGCTCACAGCTGTCCCGTGGCCGCCCGCTCTCCCCGCCGGAACCGCGCGGGCTGGACTAGGGGAGGCGGCGCCGGAGCCCGCGCTGCCCGCCGCCACCCCGGGGCGCCCTCCGGATCTGCCCCGCCGCGCGTGGGGTCGGGCCCTCGGAGACCTCAGACGGCCAGGGGGCCTGGCTGGCGGGAGCGGGGCTGCGGCTCACAGCCTGCCTGCCTGCCCGTCGGGCTGCCCGGGCCCCTGGGTTCCCCAGTTCCCCTACGCTCCTTGCCCTGATTAACAGGTTGCAGAGCCGGCATTTCTTTGAAGGAGGGGGCTCAGTCGGAACCTCGAGGGCCCACTAGGGGGAGGTATGGATCCTGCCTTCCTGAACCCTGCACCGCCAGGTGGGCTCCAGCTGTTATCTCTGGGGATTCCGTCCTCCTCACACTTTTCTGTCTCTTCTGGATGTTCCGTTGGCATGATGCTCGTATAACAAAAAGCACCCAATACATAGGTGTAATAAAGTTTTAAATAAATCTTCCAAGGCCTTCAGAGGCGGTCAGGAAAACCCTCAGCCTGGCACACAAGGTCCTCCCTGCCCATTCCCTGGCCACAGACTAATTTTCCAGCCTCAGCCACCGACCCCCAAACACACATGCACCCCTGCTCTGGGAACATAGGCTGTTGCCAAACACCAGCTGCTGTGGGTTCTTGCTTTGCCTGAATGCCCTTCCCCTTCCTTCTCTGCCTGTTGAAACACTACTCATCCCTCCAGGCCCCACTGAAATGCCCCATCTCGGTGAGTCCTTCCCCAGACACCGGCCCCACAGAGGGGTCGGCCCCTGCTTGGTGAGCCCGCCATTCTCGTGCTGTGCATATATTAGACCCCCTTCCTCTCCCTCTTCTTCTCCCCATCGCTCCGCACGAAGCCCTGTTCCTGGAGGAACAGAAATAAACACTTATTAAGCAACTGCCATAAGTCCAGGTGATGTCCTTTCTTCTTAAAGCCTGGGCTTCGACCCTCCACAAACCCCCCCCAGCCCCACCCACCCCGGAGAAGGGCGGCACCAGACCCCCTCCCCACTGGAGTTTCAGGAGGCTGTCGGGCCGCCTCCCCGGTCGTCTTTCTGGGGCCCAGCCCTATGCTCTGGTCTATTCCGTTTCTGTTCTGGGGTACGTTTGTCGTGGCCCCCCGTCAGGGTGGGTTGTCTTGGTGTTGCTCAAGCATGCACGTTTGAGGTAGCAAAACAGGCCGCCCTTCTCTCAGCCCCGGTGAGGGCACCTTTTATATCAGAATCTGAGACATGGAAAAGACCCTGGAGAGTACCTCATGCAAAACCTTCCCACTCCCATGATACAGAAGAAAACACTGAGGCTGGAGAGAGCAAGTGGCATCAGAGGTATCTGCCCTTGTTACTGTCGTTGCTAAATGTTATCGATACTGTTATCTGGCAGGTTGAGACGGCCTTTCTCTTCTACAGCAATCCCACACGTCGGCGCTAGTCTGCCCCTCACGATCTCTTGAGATACTTATGGTTCAGTATTCACTTCGGAGGTCAAAGACTTAGACTTGGACTTGGTGCTCCGCGCTGTCAGCTCTGGGTGGGCAAGTAACTGGACTGTTCCGCAAAGTAACCTGTGGGCAGTGGCAGTCCCTGCACCACGGGGTTGTTCAGAAGATCCAAGTGAGTATGCGTCTTGAGAGGGTGCAGAACAGTAGCTGGCACATAAAAATGCCAGATGTGTTTGCTGTTGTTGACATTTTTGTTATTATTAATTGCATTATTTCACAGGTGAGCCCAAGAGGGTTGGAAAGGCTGAGACCCGTAGAAGGAATTACTGCTGCTGGCAGCTGGTCTCACTGAACTCCACGCACTTTGTCTCCGACGCCCTCTGCTTCCTGGCGAATCCCCTCCTGAGACGACACCACTCCCCGCGTCCCGGGGTCTCACTACACCCATCTCCTAGGGCGCAAAAGCAATTGTCCTTCAGGCCAGCGATTTTCAACCTTTTCCAGCTCCTGGCACACACAAACTAATTCCTAAAATTCTGCGGCACACCAAAAAATATATTTTTCGCTGATCTGACCAAAAAATAGGTATAGTTTTGATTCATTCACACTGATGGCTCTTGTTGTGTTGGCTGTTGTCATTCTTTTACTTGACAGTCTCAGGGGAAAAGTTCAGTGCCCCTGACGACACAGTCAGGGATGGCGTGTTTTAAAAATTCTTGTGGCACACCGATTGGAAATGGCTGCTCTAAGCTATCTCAGAACACCTAGACATTTCGCGCTACAAATACTAACTGCATCTTTTGGGGTTTATGGTGCCGTCTTTGATTTACCTGGCACTTCCCTTCCCAGCACACACCTGTGCTTCCTTCAGGATCGCAGAACCACTGCATGTAAGAGCTGAAAGGTCAGCGTGTGCCCCCGTCACACTCAGCCCACAGCAGAGGAAGAGGCGGGCAGAGACGCTTCTTCTCCCGTGTGGACACAGGGGACTGAGGTGGGGAAAGCACTCACCGATGGCCCCACGCCAGGTAGGCAGCCTGAAGCTCGGGTAGGATCAGGATCGTCACTTCCTCCTTCTCCGGGACCCCATGATTCCTACCCAGAGTTGCTGGAGAAACCCGAACTCATTCATGAAGTGTCTTTATGGAGCAGCCACAAGGTGATGACTAAAAAGCTAGGCAGGGCCAGCTTCCCTGCCTTGGCCCATACAGATGCTCTAGAAGAGCTGTCGCCTCCTGAACTCGTAGTAATTTTGAATAAGGGGCCCTTCCTTTTTATTTCACACTGGACCCTGCCAATTGTACGGCTGGTTCTGGATCGAGGTCTCCCCTAGAGTCCCAGGGGGTCCAGGGAGTCAGCCAGCGAATTGATTGTTGTGACAGAGGCAGGTAGCTGTGGCGTACGGGGCAGGAGCATGGCCAGTATTCAGCTCACTCGGCCACCTTCCCCAGCTACGTTAGCCGACCCTGCCACCGGATGCTGGCCACACTGCTCTGAGCTGGCCTTTGTTAGGCAACACGCCTGTAGCCCCAAAGAGCTGCTGCAAGCCCCAAGACCTGGCAGGCCAGTATTGCTGCTGTGCCTTGGCAATACCAGAAAGGTGTGTCATCGGAGCCCTAAGCCTTCCTCATGTCCCCATCCACACTCACCTTTCACCCCTGACTCCTACTGGTCCTTGGTTCCCTGTACCTGCCCGGACCAGCTAACTTCAGGAAAAGGGTAAATAAAGTCAACCTAATGGGCTCTTCATCTAAAGGACACTTGTCCCACCCCCCCTTCATTGATTTTAAAGAGAGAGGAAGTGAGAGGGAGAGAGAGATAGAAACATCGATGAGAGAGAACATCGATTGGCCACCTCCTGCATGCCCCACACTGAGGATTGGACCCACAACCTGGACATGTGCCCTGACCGGGAATCGAACCAGCGACCTCTCGTGCATGGGTGGATGCTCAACCATTGAGCCACACTGGCCGGATGGACACTTGGGTTTCACTAGGAATAGTTTTGTGTTCTCCTGGCCTGTATGGCCGACATGTAATATGCACCCAATTCATGACAGTTGAGCATGAAGGGTAAATAAACGCACGTGACGAAGCCTGGACTAGGCCGCTGGAAGTTCACTGGCCCGAGACCACGGACTTCTGTGTGCTCTGTTTGGTTTTGGAGTAATGCCGGAAGCCTCAACACCATGGTTTGAGAGTGAGTAGAAGTGAAGCAATGGGCGAGCAGGAGGACCCACTCCCGAGGAGGCTGGCTGGGGAGGGAGGAGGTAGTGTGGGAGCTGAAGGGAGAAGAGAAGAAGAGGAGCCTTGAAGACCTCGGTAGACTGAGGTCAAGAACCTGATGGAGCGAGAAGGGTGGAGAGTGAGGAGGGTCAATGGCTCTGGTTCAAGCAGAGGCAAGAAGACCCGGAGGGCACAGGAAGGCGTGGGGAAGCCCCCAGTCTCCGAAACAGGAGGGGGGAGACGCAGACGGGTGAGGATGAGGAGCGAGACATGGGAGGAAACTGGACGGAGTTCCTAGATGATGGGCCTGTTTCCTCTGTGACACAGGCAAATAGGTAAATGGCTGCAGTGTCTGGGTAGACCAGCGGGTGGGTGTCATTTAGACACTGCTGTGAGTTGCTATCTCCTCTGAGGTGGGGGTGGGGCACACCCAGAAGGAGAGAGCAGCAGGTGGGCTTGGAGGTGAGGGACCCTTGCGGGAGGTGTGCTCCCTGAGCCACCGTCCAGCCTCACGGCAGCCTTCCTCCTGGTACTTCTGAGTGTTTTCTTGCTCACACGCAGCTCTCAACTGTCGCTGAAGGCCAGCTTCTCGTGCGTGGGGCCCCAGCGGAACACTGGAAACATCCCCTGTTCCGGTGCAGGAATTCCTCTGCTGCCCCTCTTCCCTTCCTCGCGCGGCTCGGGTTACAGAGTTTCCAACAGGTGGAGGCCAGTGAAAACAAACTTTCAATATTGACTCTCCGGGCTCCATCCAGAGGGCAGCATCTGCTCCACCTCCCAGAACCTCGTCAGCAAAGGCCGAATCACACAGCTGCCGAGGGCTCGAGGGCCGGCAAAGGGAGGTTGCCCTGTAGCCACACCTGTTGTCTTTCTCCTCCTTGAATGTGTTGGGCTTGGGTGGGAAGGTGGTTTTTTTATTTTTAAATGAGATCACAGGGGCCAATTGCAGGTGTTACTGAGAAATGAGGCTAGAATGCAGGAGAAATAAGGCGTCCTTGAGGATGTTTTTGAAAGCCATGGCCTCCCTCTGTGGGACTCACGGACCTGGATTCCATCAGAGGCAGGTCAAGGCAGAGCAACGACCTACTCTCTCTCCAGGAGCAAGAATGGACTCATCATTCAGATGCAGTCACAGAGCTATGGAGCTGGAAAGACGGGAAGTCATAGAGCCAATCCCATGCACCACAGGGGAGGCGACTGTGGTCCAGGGTGATAGATGCAGTGATGTGACTTCTCCTGGCCATGAGTGCAAGATGTCATTCCATCCCCACCTCCCTGCAAGTGGCCTCTGAGAGACTGAGTAC